CCGCGCGACCCGGCGTCCCTGCGCGCCCTCGCCGTCTCCCGGTGCGCTTACAAAGGGTGCCGCGATCCAGACGTGCACCCGGGGCCGAGCACAGCACCGACGTCCGCTCATTCATTCACCTCCCAGGTGGCGGGCGGAGGGGAGCAGGGGCGCCGGGGCGAGGGGCGGGGGCACGGAGCAGGGCACCGGGCAGGCGCCTTCTGTCTCGGGTACTTCCGAGTTTCTGAGGCTGCATGGATGGGGCTGCCGGGCGCTCTGGCCACCTTCCCGTGCTTGCTGCGGTTCCGGGCTGGCGGCGGCGGCGGCGGCAGGCGCGTGTGTGAGGGACGCAGCAGTCCCCGGTCGGCCGCGCGGCGGCCGTTCCAGCGGAGCCGACCCCCGTGGGAACCAGAAACCAGGCGGGCGACTCTAGCTAGTGTTGGTTGCTTTCGCTTCCATTCTGTCTCCGTGTGGAGCTCCTGGCGGGGGACTAGTGAAGCCGTAAGCAGTCACCTGCTAGGTTGGAGTTCATCTCCACCCAGAGCACGTCCCAAGAAAGGCCTGGCAGTCTGCTTTTGATAGGTCCCACACAGCCTTGAAAGCCCCACAGAGCTCAGCGTTACCCCGACTGCAATGGGGTGGCCATGTGTGTACTTAAGGATCCCTGCTTTTATTTGCTGGATACCGAGTCCCTGGGTAGGGCAAACAGGTAAGCATTGCACTGCTAACCGAAAGGTTGGTAGTTTGAAACTCACCCAAAGGTGCTTTAGAAGAAAGGCTGGACAAAATCGGGGCCCCCCCCCCCCATCGAATCTGAACAAGCCCCAGTTTTAAAATCATATTTGCTGGATACCTGTTTTGTACCCGCCCGCCCCCAAATAAATCCAAGGGCCCTTGGGTCAGTTTCATCTTTTAGCACTCCTGTAGGGCAGAGTAGGACAGCTGGCAGCATCGGGTTTCCAAGGCTGCAGTCCTCACACCAGCAGACTGTCACACTGTTCCCATTCGGAGCAGCTGGTGATTTTGAACCACCCACCTTTCGGTTAGTGCTTTCGCCACAGCGCCAGCAGGGCCCTTGGAGATAGGAATATAAAAAGCTCTTTGGGATAAAGGGAAGGTTGATCGTAAAATACTTTGGACAGTCTCCAGCGCTGGGAAGAGTGAAGTAAGAATGCGGAGCCAAGCCCGCTGATGGGTTCAGCAGCCAGTCAGGGAGAGAGGAGCAAGCCTGTTAAAGGTCGCAAGAACTAGCCAGTGGGCAACTCTGCCACTAACTTAGTGGCACTAATAAGTTCTTATTAACTAAGAACTTCTTGGAACAGATAAGAAAGCGCTCTAAATGCCTTAGGGAGCCAGGTATTATTAGTATTCACCAACTACAGCACTCCCCCTTTTGATTTTTCGGTGGGGACGGGATAGTTTAAGGGGATATTTTTGGTTTAAAGTTTAAAGATTATTTCAGGTCAGTAGTTTTAGGAGTTCATGTACTTTTCATCATTCCAGGAAGTCTGGAGTCCATGAAAGTCTGAATTCTGTTCTACATGTCCCCCATCCCCTGGCCAGCTGGTCAGTCAGCCACCTTCTCTAGAATCCGATTGAAATGTTCAGTCATGGTATTCTGGCAACATCCTGTTCTTTTCGGTTCTCATGGCAAAGGCGGTTGTTGTTGGAGGCGATAGAGCCGTGGCTCTCAACCTTCCTCAGGCCGCGACCCTTTCATACGGTTCCTCATGTGGGGATGACCCCCAACCATAACGTTATTTTCATTGTTTCTTCATCACTGTCATTTTGCTACTGTTAGGAATTGGGCGACCCCTGTGAAAGCGTCTTTTGACTCCCAGAGGGGTCGCGACCCACAGGTTGTGAACCGCTGGGATTGAGGGATCATTTAAAAACTTCCTGCCCAATTTTGGCAGGTGGGTCCCAGTGGTTCAGTGATAGAGTTCTCACTCACTGTGCAGTTTCAGCATCCAGTTATGTGCTGCCACCACCCATCTGTCTCAGTAGAGGCTCCGTGCTGCTGTGATGCTGAGCAGGTCCAGAAGACAGACTAGGGAGAAAGGCCTGGGGGTCGACGCCTAGAAATCAGCCTGGGAAAACCCCACGGGGTACCGTGGTCCCGTCCACAGATGACCGTGGGATGGCACAGGACAGGACAGTGCTTCATGCGTCTGTGTGGGATGGGATTGCCTTGAGCCTTAGGCTGACTGGACAGCAGCCGGCAAGTGTCTGATTGGATATTAGCACTGATTCCAACGTTGTGGGGGTGAGAGCTAGTGTTTCCTGAGTGTGTTTGAGTTTAGGCAGTGCTTTCTGGCTTGCTGTTGCCCATCCACCTCACCTGCTGCTGAGGAAGGGATTCTGGCTTCACTGATGGAGGTTGACTTCCCTTGGGGGCGTGGGGAG